AAAGGAAGACGGAAAGGGAGCTCTGCTGGTCTAGTGGCAAGAAACTGAGCTGTAATTCCAAAGACACGCAGTTCGAATCCACTGGAGCATCTGGAGAAGGAGGGGCAATTTCCTCTTGTGCCAGTCAATGGTACACAAGAAAAAAAAAAGACGGAAGGAGTACACAGAGTCACTATACCAAAAAGAACTGGCAGACATAGAACCATCTTATAAAGTAGCATATAATCAAACCAATGGTAAAAAGAGGAAGTTCAAGCTGCACAAAAAAAAGGCCCCAAGAATTGATGGAATATCAATTGACATATTTCAACAAACAAATGCTGCCCTGAATGTGCTCACCAGGTTGTGACAAGATATCTGGATGACAGCCGTCTCGCCAAGTAACTAGAAGAGATCCATATTTATTCCTATTTCCTCTCAAAAAGGCGATCCAACAGAGTGCGGAAATTCTCAAACCATATCATTAATATCACATGCAAGCAAAATCTTGCTGAAGATTCTAAAAAAACAAAAACAAGAACAAAAAACCACCCAACTGGAACAGTACATTGACAAAGAACTGCCAGAATTACAGGTGGAGTTTAGAAGAGGCCGTGGCACTAGGAATACTCAGATTGTCGATGCAAAACTGACTCACAGATGACCTCCCCTGAGAATTTCAGAGGCTGTAAATCACACTGGAGGGAACTGTACATCTTTTTCCTATGGAGCAGTTGGTGGACTCAAACCACCTGCTTTGAGCTGACAACACAACTCCTTGTCCACTTGTGGCAAGCCAAATTTCATACCAAATATTATATGATAAACCATATGCTTAATCAGGAACTGAAGGAATCACAAAATTGTAAATTGGAATTTCTCTTGTGACAGATCACAGGAAATGAGCTGTTTCCTGCAGACAAAAGACAGCTAGGGTCTGCCTGCAGAGAGTCAATATGTGTGAAATCCTTCCTTCCTGAACTAAGTATCAGGTTAAGAATAGAGGAAAAACTCGGCTTCATTTACAAGAGAATTCTCTTTATGATTTGCTTCCTGATTCTCAAGAGATATACAGAGAGGCGTGGTTTGTGATGCTTCAGCTGATTCAAACTGCTGGCCTCCTGTTTTAGACCCTCTCTGTTTTATCTCATTCTTAGTGTTCTGTCTCTCAATATTAATTATTAATATACTTTACCCTCGGTCTGTGATACCCACTGTTGTTATGTTGCTGTTAGGTGTTGTTGAGGATGACACGTAGCATCCTATGAACAACAGATTTGAATCCTGTCCCATCCTGTGCCATCCTCATCATCCCTGATGCACTTGAGCCCATTGCTGCAGTCACTGTGTCAATCCATCTCATTGAGGGTCTTCCTCTCCTTCATTGACCCTTCACTTTTCCAAGTATGATGTCCCTTTCTAAGGCATAGACTCTCCTAGCAACACATCCAAAGTATGAGAGAGAAGCTTTGCCATTCTTGCCTCCAAGGAGCACTTTAGCTGCACTTAGGGCTTCTTTTTGAGATTAAAAACCCCCCAATACAGATTAGAGGTAATTGACAACCACAAAGAGAGGAGAACCGGGGGTGGAGAGCATTCTTTGGACCTGGGGAACCTTCGAGATCCATGGAATACTGTTGCTGAGACACGTGGGGGTCCTCAAATGATGCCCAGGCCCACAGATGTGCAAAGGGCGCAACAATCTTCTCCAAAAGCGTATAGAGAGAAAGCCTTCCCCAAACACTGGCCCCACAGCTTCAACTGGGAAACGGTAACTTCCTTTGTTTCAGCCAACACAATGCTGTCAAGTCAGAACCAGCTCACACCTCCAGCGGGTTTTCAAGTCTTTAAATCATATGGAAGGAGTGGGTCAAGGGAATGGGAAAGATCTGGTGTTAAAAACAATGTATATGGGCGAGCTCTGGTGGTCTAGTGGTAGGAAACTGCACTGCAATCCCAGAGGTGTGCGGTTCAAATCCACCAGATGCTCTGCTGAAGGAGGAACAATCGTCTCCTGTACCAGTCAGATCCAATTTGACGGTACACACATAAAAAGAATAAATAAATAAATAAAAATTGTTGTTGTTGTTGTTATGTGCCATCAAGTCGTTTGCGACTCATAGCGACCCCTATGTACAATAGCCCTAAACCATGCTCTATCCTGTGCCAATCGCACTGCCTCTGACACACCCATCCCGAGTGCCCCAGTCACTGAATCAATAGGTCTTTCCCTCCTGTACTGTCCCTCTACTCTACCTAGCACGATGTCCCTCTCTAAAGACCTGTCTCTCCTTACAACATGTCCAAAGTATGTCAGACGAAGCCCCAGAATCCTTGCCTCCAAGGAGCAGCCTGGTTTAATCCTCTCTAGGATGAATCTGTTTGTTTTCTTGGCAGTCCATGGTACATTCAATACTCTTCTCCAGCACTACAGCTCAAAGGCGTCAATTCTCCTTCTATCCTCCCTAGTCATTGTCCAACTCTCTGATGCATAACAAGTGATTGCAAAAACCATGGCCTGTATCAGGCGCACCTTAGTCTCCAGAGAGACACTGTTGCTCTTGAGTATCTTGGAGAGGTCCCTAACCGCAGACTTTCCAGTTGCAACACGTTTTTTGATTTCCTGACTACTGGTGCCAAGAGTGCTGACCGTGGAGCCGAGCAAACTGAAGCTGTGAACAATCTCAATCTCTTTGCCATCCATCATGATGCGACCGATTGGTCCAGTGGTGAGAATTTTTGTGTTCTTGACATTGAGCCTCAGTCCATATTGAAGGCTGCAGTCCTTGACCCTCTGCAGTAAGTGCATGAGGTCTTCCTCAGTTTCAGTGAGCAAGGTTGTGTCATCTGCATAACGCAGATTGTTGATAGAACCAGTGTATATGAATTTTGTAAGTAAACCAACACAAACAAAATTTAAAACACCAACATATGCAGGAGAATGCTCATCTTGCCCTGTGGAGCAGCTGGTGGATTTGAAACACCTGGCTCTGGGTTGGCAGCAAAGCTCCTTACCCATTAGACCACACAAGCTTCCTTAGGGAGTAGTGATTAGGTGCCTTTATGTCAACCACAACTTGTGGTCCTTATGTTGTTCAGCTGTGAGTCATTTCGGCCTGACAGCAATGAGTGGCATAATGCATGATGTACTGAGCTGCTAACCAAAAGGTTGGCAGTTTGAATCTAGTTGCTCCATTGGAGAAAGATGGGGAGTATTTTCCTATAAAGATTGAAAGTCATGGAATTCTGATGGAGGGTCACTGGAAGTTGGAACTGGCTCTTGATGGCGGGGGTCTGGGTTTTGCTTTGTACATTAAAAGAATACCCCCTACTCCTGTCTCATTAACATCACAGAGGTTAAGAATTACAACACATCATTAGATCAGATTGCAAAATGAAGGGCAATTATGTAACAGTGATAATCATGGCCTTAGTCAAGGTGACACACATTTTAGGGGGACACAATTAAATCCACAACTTTGTTGTTGGTAGGTGTCAAGTTGACAAAGACTCGACTAAACCCTCTAAACATCAAATGGAAACCATGCCCTATTCTGTACGATCCTTACAATCAAGCCCATTGGTGCAGTCCCTGTGTCAATCCGTTTCATTAAAGGTCTTCCTCTCTTTCCCTGACTCCAGCCCATAACTAATCTATTTAAAAAAAAAAAAAGGTTGATGGTTCAAACCCACGGAGGAAAAGCCTGACAATATGTTTTGGTCAAGATTGCAGCCAATCGAGTGCTCAGGAGTCAGAATAAACTCCATCACAACTTGCTTTATTAAGGAATCAATTAAATGTCTACAGCTACCAGACACATGAATGGACTTTAATACATGGTGTCATTTTTTTGTCTGCCTTGTCCCTTTGCTTGGTCAATTCCTAGCCATCCCTTAAGGGTTCAATTTAAATTTCTTTCCTGTCCCTCAAGGAAACCGTGTTCCCTTCCTGGGTTGGAGATAACCATTTCCCGAGATTGCCTCGCCCGTTAACTGTAATCTCTAAGCAGGTAGGGGGCTGCTTTGACACTTGGATCAGAACACAACACAAAGCCCTCAGAGCTGCACCTGCGCATCAATGAACGGCTGAGCTGTGAGCATGCGCAGTTGTCACTGTCAGATGGGAGCATGAGCACGTTTGGATGCAGGGGGATGCGTCCACCTCCCTTCGACCCTCAGAGCCCTCCTGGCCTCCCCTCAGCAAGCGGCCACCCCTGCGATGTTACCCTTCTCCTGGGGTCTCAGGGGCCTGCCCATCTGCGGCAGCTCGGACATGCACAGCCCCATCCCTGCAGCGTCCCCAGCAGTGGTCGCGCCCCACTCCCGACCCAAGCCCTGACCACGTCTGCGTTTGCCCTATGTCACAAGGGCTCCAGGTCTCATCAGTGTACTGGATGATCAGGGGGAGGAAGTGAACCCTAAACAGGGCGGGGTGGAACCACAACTCTGCGGGGCAGAGTCGGGGAGCGTTGCTATGGCGACGTGGTCTCCCAGGACTCACGGCCAGAGTTCAGTGGCGCGTGCGCAGAGCTGCCGCGAGCCCGCGAGAACTCTCCTGCTCGGTCCGGCATGCCTAGCGGTCGGCGTGCTGACGTCACGGAGGGGGCTTCCCGTGCGTCCTGATTCCATTAGTCTCTGTACAGTCTGAAATCAACAGCAGTCTAGAAAGACAGCTCGAGGGACGGGACACGCGCTCTCGGGCTCTGACTAGTCCGGGTTCGGCTCCGCTCGAAAGGCGAAGACGCAGTGTCGTTGCCATCGCGACGCGGCGCTGAAGAGCTTTCGCTTCCGGGTTAAAGGGCAGGACAAGTGCAGGCTGGTCCGGAGCCGGTTGAGGGCGCGGTGGGGAGCGCGCTTCCGTGCATTGGGTGTAGAGGCCGGTGGCCCCGAGTGTCTCCCTGGTTCGGGGACAGGGCACAGAGACCCAGCGGGCAGCTTACCCAGGAGTGAGGGCGGCGGGCCCCGGCGCAGACGAGAAACCGTGCCCGGCTCGGAGTGGACTCGAACTGCTGCTTGCTGCCATGGCGGCCCTAGTGAGTAGAAGGCGGGTTGGAGAGTCCAGGTGGCGCGTTGGACTGAGCCTTGGGCTGCCAGCCGATTCAAAGGTTGGCGGTTCGAATCTGCCTCTCTAAAGATGTTGTTATGTGCCGTCGAGTCGTTTGCGACTCACAGTGACCCTATGTACAACAGCCCTAAACCCTGCTCTGTCCTGTGCCAATCGCACTGCCTCTGACACACCATCCCGATTACCCGAGTCACTGAATCAATCCACTTCATACAGGGTCTTCCCCTCCTGCGCTGTTCCTCCACCCTCCCAAGCATGATGTCCCTCTCCAAGAACCGATCCCTCCTTACAACATGCCCAAAGTATGTCAGACGAAGCCCCAGAATCCTTGCCTCCAAGGAGCAGCCTGGTTTAATCCTCTCTAGGATGGATCTGTTTGTTTTCTTGGCAATCCATGGTATTCTCAATACTCTTCTCCAGCACCACAGCTCAAAGGCGTCAATTCTCCTTCTGTCCTCCCTAGTCATTGTCCATCTCTGTGATGCATAACAAGTGATTGCAAAGACCATGGCCTGTATCAGACGCACCTTAGTTTCCAGAGTGACACCATTGCTCTTCAGCACCCTGGAGAGGTCCCTAACAGCAGACTTGACAGTGCTTTTTCTGTGCCATCTCTGGGGTCTCTTGAGCCGGGATATCGATTCTCCAGTAGTGGGTTGGCGAGGGCGCCCACAGCCCCTCACTCACTCACCCACCCTCTCTCCTTTCCCTGCAGGGTCCCAGCAACCAGACTGTCACTGAGTACATTGTCCGAGTTCCCAAGTAAGTTTTTGAGCCGCCTCCATGTACCTTCCCGAACTTGGAGCTTGGAGGCCGGCTTGGTCTGACTCGCCGGCGAGGAGGGTCTCGGAGGGGCAGGGCTGGGCTTGGAAGAGTGATGATGGATACCCGATGTCCTCCAGGACTCCTGATTCACGGCTCCCGCTGTGTCAGGTAGAACTCTGCTCTATCACAGGGCTTCCAGGGATGAAGATTGCCAGGCTGTGCACCAGCGGAGTGTGTCCTTGGTCTGTAGCACCCAGAGATTCCGAGTACCTTAGCACAGCACGTAGTTCAGTCCCACTGCCCGATATTTAAGACATTCATGCCCTAAAAGCTTTCTGTAAGGACATACTCCTTGTCCTGCCCCAGGCCAGCCAGGGCTCCTTGCATTGCACACACCCCGTCTGAAAAGGCTCTTAATACCACGTTGCCGCACACTTTTAAATTGAGACTGTGCTTAGAAATACATTTTTTGCTGTCATTTTATTTCCAAAGAGTTGTTCCACGGGATGGAAACTTGCTGGTCATGTAGAATCCAGTCCCAGAGTTTTTCCTCCTCCACAAAGCATCCTTTGCCTCCCCTGTCTCTCTCCCTCCGTCCCTCCAGTGCCCAGATCTGTTAGCCATACGTGCTCGAATCCCCCAGATCTTTGACCTTCCGCTCTACTTCGGGATTGGAGTTGGGATATTATGCAATGGAAGTCTCTGACAGACGAGTGCACTCTATACCCTTTTCTGCCCTGAGCAGTGCAAATGATTTTGTAACCAGAAAGTTGGAGGGATGAGGCTGCTGAGAGGTGCTGCAGAAGAAAGGCCTGGGGAGTCATTTCTGAGACCCTTACAGAGCACAGTTCTGCCCTGACTCACAGGTCACTGTGGGTTGGAATTGACTCGGTGGCAGTGACTCGGTGGCAGAATTTTCCCCTCCACGCGAGAGACTTGGGTTCAATGCCCGGCCAGCGTACCTCTCTGCAGTTGCCACCCAGTTGTCAGTGGAGGTTAGTGTGTTTCTTGGAGGCTGAACAAGTTGTAGCTGACTCAAGTTAGAGTAGGAAGAAAGGCCTGGTGGTCTGAGTCTGGAAATCAGCCCATGGAATCCTGGTTGCTGCCATCACTCCATGGGGACGGTGCAGGACGGGGCAGCATTACAATCCTTGTTCATGGGCCACCCAGAGTTGGTGCCAGCTTCCCAGCAACTGACCACAGGATTACCAGGCACACACGGCTGAGCCAGGGTGGTCTGTTGGGTGAAGGAACGCTTCACTGAGCATTGCCTGCTTTTTACCCACTCCAGAAACATAACGAAAAGATACAACATCATGGCGTTCAATGCAGCCGACAAAGTCAACTTCTCTACCTGGAATCAGGTAAGCCCCTGGTACTGCAGTAGATGTAGAAGGGAGTCTCGTTAGCCAGACTTGCTGGCTCTTGTGTGGTCACTAAGGCTTTGCCCCTTCAAAGTTTCCACCGCGGAGATGAGATGATGGCTGAGGCTTAGACTTTACATATCTGGGGTAGGGTGTAGCTGCCCTGCAGGCTTCCTCTGTATAGATCATTGAGAAGTGTCTTAGTTCTCCAGTACTGCTCTAACAGAACTACCACAAGGGGGTGGCTTTAGCAAACAGATGTTTGTTTTCCTAAAGTTGAGGAAGTTGGAATTCTGAATTCAGAGGCCAACTCTAGGGGCAGGCCTCCTCAACATCTCTACAGTTGGCATCAATCTCCCCCTGGGTCTAGGAGGTTCCCAGCCCACCAGATCGAAAGGATTCCTGCTTCCTGCTTTTCTTTCTTTGGATAATAATGAGGTCCCTCTGTCGCAGCCTGCTTGTTTGATCTCTTTTATGTCTCGAAAGAGATTGACTGGCTCAAGATATAACCTAGTCCTATATGTCTACATCGTAGAGGTTGGGATTTACCACACGTGGAATGATTACTCAATCATGTTAGGTCTCAAAGGAGAAGACAACACGATCCTGAGACTCGTGGCTTAGCCATGTTGACATATATTTGTGGCGGGAGCTCTGGTGGCCCAGTGGTTAGGAGCTGCGCGGCCAGCTCACTGCCAGTTTGAACACGTTCAAATCCACTAGCTGCTTCTTGGAAAGAAGGTGGGCTCTCTCTTCCTGTGCAGTTTACTGCTTCTGAAAACCTGCAGAAGGGCCAGCTGTGGGTGGATCCCATCTTGATAATACACAACAGCAGTAATAATTCGATCCAGAGCAAAGGATTATCCCTACCGATGGAACTGAAGAACAGATTCAAACCTCGAGGTGCTACAATCAAGGATGCTTTAGGCAGAATGTTAAATGATCCAGAAGGTATCAAAAGAAG